ACAGTTCTGTCCAAACTGCTTCCAAAAGATGATTTTCATCATAGGTGCCCTTTAAATAACTATAAAAAGCTTCACTAGCTAAAGAAATCATTGTTTTTATGCCCTGACACAAAACACATTTCAGTAATCACGTCAGCAGCACTTGTGACAGTGGGGAATGAGTACTAGTCAGGTGTAATCAATAAGTGCGTTGGTCACACTTTACAATAAGGTTCATTAGTTAATGTTACTTAATGCATTTACTAACATTAACATACAATGAACAATACAGTTACGACAGAATTTGTTCATGTTAGTTAACGTTAGTTAATGACAATACAGTTGTTCATTGTGAGTTCATGTTAACTTACGGTGCATTAAATAATGTTAACAAGTAAGAGTTTGGATGTTAATAATGCATTAGTAAATGTTCAATTATGATTAATAAATGCTGAACAAGTGTTGTTCATGATTAGTTCATGTTAGTAAATGCATTAACTACTTAACCTTATTGTAAAGTGTTACCAGTGCATTCGACATAAAGCACAGCTGCAGCCTGTGATCAGCTAAGTTAGCCGAGCGCAGGCGGGGGCGGAGTTGAAAACAGAGCCGTCAAGCCAGACAGCTGGACACTTCGGGGCTCAAAGTAGCTGCAGTCATGATGACCGATCACATGGCGTCATCATAATTATTATTATTATTTTTTTTTATTTATAGCAACAAAAGATTTACAAATAAAACAGAATACAGTCTCTACAAATAGTTCATTTTTAAACAACAAGGGAATTATGAATTAAATATCTAACAAATTCATGAGAGACATAAGGGGACACGAGAGGGTAATATAAACAGAAATAAACAGGCCTATTAAATACAAAGCAATAAGCACAAATTCTAGGAGTTTAAACATCACTCTTGGCTAATTACTTCTTGTTAGAATATGCTAAAAAGGCTTTACATTTATAGATATAAAACTTTCCAATATGTATTAATGTAAAACCCAAAACAAGCTGTTTTGATTAGGTCTTAAACAATAATTAAGATTATTTTGGATAATGAAAGCATTTTCAAATAAGCATTTTAATCCAAAAAGATTGAACAAAAGGTAAAATAAGTGAGCTACACTTTAAGCAGATGTTTCCCAAAAAGAGCAGATATAAACGACTAGACAGGAAATAAAATTGTCACACAACCAGCGATCGCTCTCCAGAGATCGCTGGTTCTCACACGAACTTCAGGACTACACTTCCGCATTTCCCAGGACTACATTTTCATACATGCACTGCTCCCAGACACCCATGCTCACACATCTAGCTTGATTGCACTCACCAGCTGCATCTTGTCAGAGACTGATATCACACCATACATAAGCCACTCATGAACCCATCCAGTTTGCCGAGTCTTGTTTGCATTTTGTGACATTACAACGCGTTTCCCTGTCTTGTTTCTCCGTTTTAGACCTTAGCCTTGTTTTCCTTGTTCTCCTGTTTAGCCGCATGCCTTTTGACCTGTTGCCTGTTTATATCAACTATGATTCTGGACTGCCTGCACATACCTGTTTGTACCTGATTTGACCACTGCTTGCCTGATGCTGAATAAACATGCATATTAGATCTTACCTCCAGTTGTTTCTGTCACTCCACCCCAGTCGTTACAAAAATATACATTTATATTATAATCATATAATCATTTTATAATTATTTAATAAAATAGTTATTTTACATAATTTGTTAAGAAACCTTTAGGGTGTCAGGTTCAATGATGGTAATTATTTTATTTCAAGTCTATAAGACTTATTTGAGTTATATTTAGGTTAATTACTAAAATATGTCATTTAAGTCGTTCATGGAGCTGAATGCAGTAAATAGTCTGTATAAAAAAAGTTGAAACTAAACCCATGCAAACATGTCAGCCTTTATAACCAGATTATTTTACAAAACATGATTACTGCAGTAAAATATTTGTAGCCTTTTAGTAAGCATGATGTGTAAAAGTTAGAGATGGTATGAAAAGTGAATTGTTTGTTTTGAAACTTTTGAATCGGAATTTGTCATGTGGTGAACTCGGCCATTCGTGTAATATCTGTGTCTTCATCAGAGCTCATGCAGCCGCTCTTCAGATGCTGCACAGTCTGATTCAGTCACATGGCGTTGGCGCAGCATCAATCCGGACAAAATTTTTATTCAGCATGCACCTCTTTAAGACGGATTTCGATTGATCTGTGCAGCGCTGCATGAAGTTGAACGCACCTATTGTCACACTGACTGTATTGTAACAACAGACTGATTACTACCATGAGGGTACAATTGCTTTCAATTATTGTCTTCTTTTTACCAATGGTTACCTCCAAGCAATGGTTACCCCCTTTTTGCATCAAAATGACCTCATGTGCAAAGAAACTACTACAAAGAAGATTGCATCTGTAAAAAAAAAAGCATTTACCGGATCACCAAAACCCTCAAAGAGAGTGGTTTGAATTCAGGATAAAATTCAGGACATCCCAGAGTGTCCTGTAAGCACCATCTTTTTTGCAGGATCATATCCCCACCAGTGCAGAGCTTGGTCAAGAAAGGCTGCAAGTGGATTTTGGTGCATCTACATGTACAGTGAGGGGAAGACTTTTGGATAGTGGCCTGTTTTCGAGAAAACGGTTTTCTTCAAGAAATGCATCAAGGACAAACTAAAACCCTGCAGGATGTACAAGGATTGGACAGAAGAAGACTGGTGTTAAGTAGTTCTCTCTGATGAAGCTTCCTTCTGACTATTTGAGACAACTGGAAAATCAATTGTCTGGAGAAGAAACGGTAGATGCTAAAGGGTGCAACAATACAGACTTCTCACAGTTCGGTTTTCATTTTTAGGGTCACGGTTTTTGGTATGGTTTGGTATGTGATATCATATGTTCTGTAAAAAAAAGGACACTGTCAAATTAAAAAAACTCTACAAGCAAAATACTATACAAAATGGATACATTATAGTGAAGATACTACAAAAGATACAGTTCTTTCCAGGTATCTAACAGCAGTTTTCAATAACATATTTCAGTGTAACACTGAATACTGTATATATTCTTCACCATATAAATTCAATAAAGCTTAAAGGGTCATGAAACATCAACACATTTTTTGAGCTGTTGACAGTCATATATGTGTCCCATGCTGCTAAAGACTCTATTAGTACACAAATTAGTGAAAATTGGTTGTTGTTTTTTTTTTTTTTTTTTTGGTTGAAATGAATTTTTAAATCTGCGTCACGGCCATGAGATCTTAGCGTGTATTCCAGCGTGTGGACTGGACATCTGTACCTGGGAGTACCTTATTACGTCTCTGAGTGTGCTGAAATCATTTAGTGTCTTTCATTCAGTTGGTGTTGATTGTCCTGTCTCTACAGATTTGGTAAGTAAGCGGTCAGTGGTCTTTGTTTATTCAGATGGCAAAGTTAGTTTGTATCGTCAGCAGTACTCTTTCAGTGTTTAAAGACAGGTCTTAGTCAAATGATTTCTTACGTTAATATCACTACAATATTATGGACTGAAGAAGCTGTTGTAAATGCTGCACTCCGAGTGTAAACATGCTAGCAATACAATCAAACTATTACCGTCGTGTAGGATTTTCACCTTATTTTGTGACAGGAATAACACTGTCACCGACTCGGTCCCAGGTATTCCCCTCGCTGGCCAGCAGAGGTCACCATCTCCGGACTTTTAAACATTACGTCATCCATTCACTCTGATCCAGCACACCTGATCTTCATTCCGTTAATGACCCACGTACCCTTTATAAGCAGCTTACACTCACACAGTCTTTGCGAAGCCTTGTTTAGCCCCGGCCAGCATTACTGAGCGTTCTATCCTGCTTGATCTCCTGTTTACAACTCCAGCCCGTTCCCTGACTCTGCTCTGCCTTCTGCCTGATCACGACTTAAAGCCTGTTACACGGACTCTGATACTCGCTGCCTGCCCTCGACCCAAGCCTGTTACACGGACTCTGAATCACGCTGCCTGCCTCTGACCCATGCCTGGTAATCACTCTGTGTCTGTCAATCGCCAGCCCTAATCTTCATTGCTGTGTATGTTGTATGTTCGCACAGTCGTGCGTGTTGTATGTTGAGTAAAGTGTGACTTAATAAATACTGCAAATGGATCCCTCCGTGTCAGTCTCCCCGTTACAAACACACACTACTTTCAGACGCTACCTACCGACTGCATCTTAGTTTCCGAGAAATGCGGAGGTTTTTTTTTTTTTTTTTTTTAAATGTGCTAATTTGCTTCTCCGACAATCCCACTAAACAGAGCTGGAAACGCCCACTTTCCTGACTTTTTCCAAAGTAGAGGTGTGAAAAAACCCTGCTGAAACAGGGGGTTCATGGCCCTTTAACCATTATTGAGCTATATAGCTACATTTTAAATAAGGAATCACCAATAAGATTAAACAACAACTGTCCCTTTGGTTTAATTTCTAATTTTCGTATCAAACAAAATCTGCAGAAGCGCACATCTGGTCCGATCCCCTCCCCTTTAGAATCTTCAGTCTATATTAATATGGATCGCTGATTGGCTCTTGTATTAGAATGCGGGTCTTTATTCCCCAAATGACTGTTACACTTTTCCCTATTCAAAACTATAAAAGTGACATGTCTTGTGTATTTTATAATCTTTGGTATAACATCTGCACAGTTACCATACTGTTATGACATTGAGAAAGTGTGCAGGTAAATGGGAAATTACACTGTTTAAGTATGTGTGTGCTGCATCTCAGCTGTGGGAATGTCACAGTGAAGTCATTTATATTCATACATCTTAGTATGACAGGGGTTTCATCAGCACAGAGGTCTGAAATGAAATAAGTGTCACTTCCTTGGAGCATGACCAAGAGTGACATCATAGGAAATAATTACCAGAGTTTTACCAGACGATTACACACAAAGACGCCAAATAATTTTTAATTACTATCCTCCACCTCTTTCTCTCCCCTTCACATTCTCTCATCTCTTTCTAATCAGTTGTTCTCTTTGTGTTACAGGGTAATGCTTAGTCTCAGAAATGCCGTACGTAGATCGTCAGAACCGGATATGTGGCTTTTTAGACATCGAGGAAATGGAGAACAGTGGCAAGTTTTTACGACGCTACTTTATTCTGGACACGATGGACAGCAGCCTGATGTGGTTCATGGATAACCCTCAGGTACCAATCATTCTACTTCTTCTTCACTCAGTCAATGCTTAGCTGAATGTAGTTGCTGTCAATTTGACATTTTCCTGCCCTTGCTTTTACTCCTGAAAAAGTCATTACATTTCAAACATGTACATTTATTAAATATGGCATTGTTATGTTCATCTGGGTCTAGTCTTTGATCCATTTAAGTTTCACACAGTGATGCTTGATATTATGGTAATGCTCTATGTATTGGCCACAGTGGTGCAAAGTAATAAATTACAAATACTCAAAGTACTGTAATTGAGTAGTTTTTCCTCAGGAATTTTAATTTAATAAGCAGTTTTGAAAATGTGTACTTTTACTTTCCCTTGAGTACATTTTTAGTGCAGTATTGGTACTTTTACTCCACTACTTTCCTTCAACCTGCAGTCACTGTCTGTGGGGATTAGAAAAATCAGCGCTGTAATTCCTATCCAATCAAATCTCACATGTAAGGTAATTCGCATTATAATAAACTACCTCAAGACATGTGCAATTTATAATTGCAGAAAACAGTTTGGAAACATCAAAAGTGTCCAAGAATATGTCCAAAATCTTTACCCACATTGAACAAAATACTGTTCAGATGCATGTCATGATGATGACCAAAATGATATCAACACGACATCAGCTTGACGTTGTACCTCACCGTCGTGGAGATGTTGCCTTTTGTTTGGAAATGAAAATTGGGTTGACGTCAGAACTCAGCGTCAGGCTGATGTCAATGTCCAACATCCAACCTAAAATCAACCAAATATCAACATGTAATGATGTTACAGCTTGATGTTGTGTGTATGTTATGATGTTATGGTTTAAGATAATATTACGATAATAATTAGGATGTTGGCTCGACGTTCTGTTTTGGTCACTTTCCAACACAACCTAAAATCAACCAAATATCAACGTCATTTGATGTCGATATTGGACATCAAAATAACATTGTCCTTAGATGCTGGCTAGACATTGAATTTTGGTCACCTGACATCAATTGGTCACCTAAATCTAATCTAATATTAATGTCTTGTAATTTTGTGTGCCTTCTGGGCAATGACTAGATGCACTACAGAATGTTACGTTTACACACACATGCACAGATTACATGCAAACGCATCAGCTTTTAACAGCATAATACTCACTACTATTGAGTATTTTTAAAAGGGCTACTTTTTATGCATACTTTGAGTAATATTTACAACAGATACTTTTACTCTACTTGCACTACAATTTTAGGCAAGTAATAGTAATTTTATTTAAGTATGATTTTTCTGTACTCTGTCCACCCTTGATTGGCCAGCAATGGCATCAAACACTAGCATTTGGTTATTTATTATTAAAAAATTGAGGATGTGCCCAAAGACTTTAGAATACACTAGGCACGTCGATCATACAGTTTTGAATGGGGAAAAGTATAATGGTCAATATGGCAGATAAAGCCCTGTTTTCTAGTACAGGAGCCAATCAGCGTTCGCTATATACTGAAGATTCTCCAGGGGAGGGGCTTGGACCAGATGTGTGTTTCTGCAAATTTTAATGATTCAAATGTTTAGAAATTAAACAAAAAAAAAGACAGTTGTTGTTTAATTTTATTGGTGATTCCTAATATGAAATTTAATAGTAAGCTTGGCAAGCAGTTTTTGAGAATTTGATGTTTCCCCATTCAAACAGAATGTTTGCGCATACTGCCCGAGAGGCGTTTCAGAGATGGCCGCCGAGTAAAATGACTTGCCTTAAAGGGACTTTGATGTGCCTAGTTGATAAGATGATGTGTTATAGGCTGCAGTGTCTAACCGTTACTCATAAGTGCTAGCATTAAGATCAGATAAGCAGTCTAAAGTGAATTTTTACCTGTATGGTGATTTATGGCCACTATTTTGGATTGCCAACTTGAAACTGCGATTATGAGTACAGAACAAAACAAAACCCCTCAGTAAGTTTGCCTCTGCTGCACTGACAGCCTCCCTCAGGTCCTAATGCCTAATGCAGTTTAGTACTGCTAAAACATTCTGTATTACCTTATTCAGCACCTGCTGGATCTGCTTCTTAGCCACCCCTTCAGGATGACATTACTTATTATTTTTTTTTAAATTGCATGCCATCGTTTTGCAGACTTAGGGCTCTATTTTGACGGTCAATGCGCAAAGTGCAAATCTTTTTGTGCAGGGCGCAAACACTTTTAGGGCGTCTCAGAATCCACTTTTGCTAATATAAGGACAGAAAAATCCGCTTTGCGCCATGGCGCATGATTCTAAAAGGGTTGAGCTTATTTTCTTAATGAGTTATAGGTGTGTTTTGAGATTTAACCTATCAGAGGCTCATCTCCCATTCCCTTTAAGAGCCAGTTGCATCACACCATAAGCGCATTTGCTATTTGCATGATGTAAAGTAAGTGTAAGTAAAAAAACTGAGCATTTCACTTGCAACAAAACAGTTAAACAGAGCACCTTTAGCGCGAGAATGAGAGATAAGGCATCTCATAATCTACTTTCACTTTCGCTCTTGGATAGGGAAACATTGTACGCACAGACATCAATTAGCCTATAAACAATTAATTTCATTTGTTAAGTGCAAATATTTGTTTCAAAACTATTTCTAAATTTAGTTCTAATTTCCAGCAAACTAATAAATGAACAATAATAACGAAGTGTGTTCAAAAACATGAGTTAAATCCAAATACACATGCTGGGCCCCATATGGTCTGAAACCTGACAAGTGGACAAATTTAAGCTTGTTTTTAATAAAACAAATATAGATATGGATAATAATAACATTATAATAATAATAATAACATTATACAAAAGCAAATTGTTATGACTGAACTGAAAAGGCCACCCGAGATAAAGAAGGCATGAAGGCAGAGTTTTTTATATTTATGTAGGCTAGAAAATAATATATTTTGTAATATTTTAATCCTTTATATTTATATCCTATATATATATACTACTAACGCGCTCTGCACTGGAGTTTAGACTAGCTTTGTTTTGGTCTATTGAAAAAACTATTATAGTTTCTCAAAATAGCAATGCGCCTCAGAACGCCTTCCTTTTTAGACCAGAATGCCACTGGGCGCACATATGAGCGCTAATGCATTTCCTATTTAAACAGCATGGCGCAAAACGTCAAAACAACTCTTGTGCCAAGCTGAAACTAGCAAACAACAATTACGTCTTGCCTTGCGCCACATTGCGCCGGGTGTATGATAGGGCCCTTAGAGTTCCATGTGTATATGTAAGTTTCTATGTGCAGAAAGAGAGAGAGAGAGAAAGAGAGAGAGAGAGAGAGCTTAGAAGAGTGATCACAGCTTCCACTGGTGCTTATCGTTAATTATATGGTCAAACCAAAAAATCGGATTTTGACTTTTAAAGGCTTTTGAAAATAAATTACATTTGCCTTTGTGGAATGAAAATGTATTTGTGCCACAACACAATTTAGTCCACATTACAAAACATTTAAATCTTTGAAATGGCTCTGTTCCAATGAATTTTAATTTATTGATTATTTTTTTAAAACATCATGTGAAATGAAGTTTGAATGGGGGTTGGTAGTATCATTAAAAATTAAAACATGTCCCTGTATCAGATATGGCAGTATGGTGTTCCTCAAGGGCTTGTCATTGGCCCAGTTTAGTTTCACATACTGTAAATGTTACAAACACCCAAACCAACAAAGTCTAATATACTTTTTAAAAAATATAGAAATATACTGTTTAGTATTACATTCTTTATTTGTACATTTTTCCAAAGTGGATAGAAAATTCAGTTCTGACACAGAAAGTCTCATAATCCCCAAGTGAATGAAACAAAAAAAAACTCAGATTTTATATATATATATATATATATATATATATAAACACTCGGTTGGGTGGGTGATATATGAGTGTTTATATATATATATATATATATATAAACACTCGGTTGGGTGGGTGAATGTGACGTAACCGTTTTTTTTTTTTCACAGAGTTCAGCGGCTGCCGTGTCCAACAGGGGCTACTACTGCAGCCACTCACACACATTACCATGCTTCATAAAACATGCAAAAGAATAGCACTTTAGATATGCTGAAAGTCATAATCGTCATGAACACAAGTGGAATTAAGACATGTGGAGTATTCCTATTTCAGTTGCATTATTGAAATGCAGCACAGACATATAAAGACCTGAATCAAACTATTAATATCGTGAAGGACTTTTAGCTGCATTTTTTTAACAGGACATAAACATATGGAGGTTTGACACTATTCTTTGCAACTACCAAGTCAGTAAAATACCACAGATACATACATTTCTAACTGCGCGTGCTCGCACACTCAGACCCTTTTCCTCGAAAATTGTCACATCACCATTACTGAAAACATGTTTATGCTGTCCGGTAGATGCTGTCTTTTCATTCGCTGAGCGATATTAAATTGTATTAAAACAACAACTCCCTCCTATCAGTCCTTACTTTAGTGTCGCATCCAGTACATCAGAGGGAGACAAATTAAAAAATGAATCTTTAATGAAAAAAATGAAAAATGAAGTACAAAAAATATTAAAAACATTATTTTTGTAAGCTCAATTTGTGTAAAGGACTTTGATTTCTTACGTGAGGTCAGTCAGTAGAGTTTATAGCTAAATATTTAGCAGTGTTTGCATGTCCTTTATGGCATATACTATAATTCAATAAAATAGAAGTAGAAGATAAGATTAAATTGAGGATTAAAATAGAAATAAAATAATACTCATTGCAATTTTTTTTTAAAGCACTAAATTGTTGCTTTGCTCCAGCAAGTAGCATCTATCAATATGTGAGGTTGTAATTACTTTTGTACGCATGGTTAATTTTAAAAAGTGAAAGTATGCCCAAGTTCCTTTATATGAAATATCATATTTAACTTGTATAAAATAATTTATTTTAATTTGATTTTGTTTTAAAATGTCAGTTTTCTTATTTGATATATTTCAACTTCAGAAATGTCCCTCATTTATTCTGAGAAATAATAATAAAAAAAC